ACACACACACACACACACACACACACACATATAATATAAAATGTATTTTGTAGTTTTTTATATTCGGTAAGGAATCGACCCCCAGACTGGATTTCGTCGTGACCTCTCCACCGCACACAGATGAATAATATTTCTTTCAAAAACTTGTTAATATTTTTTGTTTTTACGTGTATTTTGCCCTCATACTTCACCACTTTAATAAATCGAATGCATCTGTGTTTACTTTAAAGTTTATTAGTCCCGCCTTACAGACAGTTAAGAGCTTTACAGAGTAAATACCAGGGCAGAGCACGAGTATGACTTGAAGCCTGAGAAATTAGATAGATAAATAGATGAACATTTTATTCACGAGAATGTCATGAATTTAGATTAAGTACAAAAAGAAAATGAAAAACATTTGTCTTTCAAAGAACACTAACTCAGCATATGCCTAACTTCCCTAAGGCTTTGGAAGTTGAAATTATGTTTATACATTGTTTATATTTTATGTTTATCAGTGTACAATATAAATAACCTCAGGATAATTAAAATTGTCCTAACGACATTGTAAGTACGGAAAAGGGCAAGGTTCTCTTTACAGCCAAGATTTAAATTTAGCTGTATGCCATTTACGATCAGACAATCTGAAGTAGTAAGTGTTAACCAAAACGTGCTGTTGGTCTTATCTTTTAAGTAAAAACAATGCATAAGGTCACCATAAGATGTATAAACAAAACCATGTAACAATTTATAAATCTTAATGCCACAAATGTTATATTACAACATTTCCACATGGGAAGACCGCAGAACTTATTTCCATAAATAGTGGTTTATGAGACGTACGCAATTGTCATAGAAATAATGAACATTCTTTGGCTATTGATGCATTGATTCTACTAGGAAAATAGGTATTTCCCATAATTGCGGTATTAACGGGTAGTTACACAAAGTTGTCAGACGACTTCTACAAGATATAGGATTTTAATAATCACGGATATAAATTCTCAGTTTCTATGCGCTATGAATGTCCTCGGGGTGATTTTAGTTTATACGGAAATACATGTAATCTTAGGTATAGTAATAAATCATCAATGACATCTTAAATGTACAGTACAAAGTCAAAGTCAAAGTCAAAGATGATTTATTCCATAGGTAAAATAAATTTACACTTGAAAACGTCACATTTAAGGTACTGCTCGTTCACTACGCTGACCTCCCTGAGAAGAACGAGCAAGAAACTCTAGGGATTGCTCTTTTCAAATAAACTTAAATGCTATGGAATACATTTTGAATCAAATTTGTGTGGATTCTGGAGCCATGTCGTCTTTCCATACATCTTTATCTAACACGTAGTCTTCAATTTTGTAATATGATTTTTCGATCAAAATATTTTTAATGTAGTTTTTAAACTTAGGAAATGATAAACTTAATATATGCTCCGGAATCTTATTGTAAAAACGTATACAGTTCCCCATAAAAGAGTTGTTTACCTTGGTTAAACGAAATCGTGGTACCATGAGTTTGGACTTAGCTCTAAGGTTAATATTATGGATATCTTCTTTCTTATTGAAATTATGTATATTTTTACGGGCATATAAAATATTTGAGTAAATGTACTGTGATGCCACAGCCATGATACCAGTCTCCTTAAACTTTTCTCTGAGAGATACCCGAGAGCCTAGACGGTACACAGAACGAATCGCTCGTTTTTGTAATACAAATATGGTTTGAATATCTGCCGCTTTACCCCACATGAGAATCCCGTAGGACATTATACTATGGAAGTAACTAAAGTAAACTAGTCTAGCAGTACTAACATCGGTAAGCTCACGTATTCTGCGGACTGCGTATGCAGCGGAGCTTAATCTGCTGGCCAGGGACGATATATGTGGAAACCACTGAAGTTTACTATCTAAGGTCACTCCCAAGAAGACTGCTTTATTAACAAGGTCTAACTTTTCTCCGTTTATTTCTATGCTTGGACTAGTCGATTTTACGTTAGGTAATTCAAATTTAACACATTTTGTCTTCTTGGCATTAAGCAATAAATTGTTAGCATTAAACCAATAAACTACTTTAGAGAGGGTATCATTAATACGGTCATAGTTAATGTCATGTCTGTCTGTTTTAAAAATCAAGGATGTGTCATCAGCAAACAACACTATTTCGCAATGGTCCTTAACAAAGAATGGCAGATCATTAATATAAATCAGAAATAAGAAAGGTCCAAGTATTGAGCCCTGCGGAACACCCATTTTTACTGGAGAACCCAAAGAAGTCGCTCCATTTATGCCTACTTTCTGAATTCTACCGTTGAGATATGACGAGACAAGTTTCGACGCCTTGCCATTTACACCGTAATGTTCCAGCTTACTAATAAGAGTATTATGATCAACGCAATCAAATGCCTTTGAGAGGTCACAGAAAACACCAATAGCGTTCTGGGACCTTTCCCAAGCATCAAAGATGTGTTTTAGTAACGCTACCCCCGCATCGCTAGTCGATCTACCACTAGTAAACCCGTATTGTTCACTATGAAAAATATGATTCCTACCGAAAAAGGACAGTAATTGAGTTAGCATAACCTTTTCGAATATTTTACTTAAAGCTGGTAAAATTGAAATGGGCCTATAGTTGCTAGGATCAACTTTCCTACCGCTTTTGAATAAGGGAATAACCTTGCTGTATTTCATTAAATCGGGAAAAACACCTTCGTCAACGCACCTATTGAAAGCTACAGCTAACTGTGGGGAAATGAGATTAATAACTGAGTCTATAACTTTAGTTGATATGCCCCAGAGATCTTCAGTTTTTTTAACATGTATTGACTTAAAAGCTTTTATGATGTCTTGTGGATTAACATGACGAAAATTAAATAAACTGCCACAAACGTTAACATTTTCCTTTAGGAGATCAATAGCAAGTGAAGGGTAGGAATTTAATGATTTTGTAGTGTTCACAGCAATTTCCGAAAAGAACGATTCAAAAGCTTATATAATAACGTACTACAGTATCTGATTTTATTTTAAAAAGTGTTTTAAGTAAAATATAGATTGATACATTGTTTCATTCTAAACAGATTCTAAAAAGCCTTTGAATAAGTCAACTATGAAATTATTTGCTGAAAAGTCTTGGATTTGGTATCTATGCCTCCGGTTAAGTCCGGTAGGTAGAGCTGAAGAAGCATGAATGAAGAGTAAATTTAAAAATTTGAGACCACCTACATCAAAGAAGGAAAATGAAATAAAACTCAAAGTACAAAGCAAGAGGTTTAATTATTAATTAAAATACTTATCTACTAATACACATACATCAAGAACAAAACAAATCAAGAAACATCAACCATTTACGTTAAAAATGCCGTTCATATTTTAAACAGATTTTTCGTCAAAAAATCCTCCCTTGCATTTAATTACTTTTTTTATTAGTCTCGGCATACGAGTAACAAATTTGTCGATTGTTTCTTGTGAAATATTGTCCCAGCTATCTTGTAACGCCTTCCAAATGTCTTCTTGCGAGGAGGGACAACAACTGCGCACATTTCCATCAAGCTCTTCCCACAAAAGTTACATTGGGTTAAGATCCGGGCTTTGAGGGGGCCACACCATATTTTGTAACACCCCTTCTGTTTCTTTATGTTCTAAATAACTCCTGCAGAATTTTGAACTATGTTTTG